TACATTATTTGAACTTTATATCTATAAGATACTAAGACTAGAGACTCAGACAGAGCCCTTGCTAACTTAAGAGTTATTAGAGTTATTTGCAATCTAAACCTAATAATTTTTTTAATTTATTAATACTGTAATTTATTAATACTAATGATTTTAATAACATTAATTTATTTAAATTAAAAATTTTATAGTTAAGAAGTTTATTAAGAAAAATATTTTATAAAAATACAAATAAGATCTCAAGTAAACAACAAACAAGAAAATGATTTTATGATGATATTGAGCTTTTTTATGATGCAGTTAGGCCAAACGACCTGCCAGATTGAACCTATGTGTTCGATGAAAAAGAAGTTGCAAAAGAACGAATGAAAGAACAAAAAAAGAAGTGAAAAGAAAAAAGTAAAGAAATAGAAGAAAGAAAAGAAACAGAAGTTGCTTCTAGAACTGAAAGACCAATGAAAAAACCCTGAATTCAAAGTGGAGACTATGACAAAGTAGTTTTGTATTCAGAAAAAAAAGAGCTCAAAACTAGCGAAAGTGCGAAAATGGGTAAAATTTATGATGCTTTAATAAGCACTGTACAATATATCTCGACCGAAGAAAGCACAGATGAAGAGTCTCAGAAAGAGACACCTAAGTGAAAGGTTATTTTTATAGGGTGTATGGGTGGGATTTTTTAAGAAAATCAGTTTTTGAAAATTTTTTTTTTAAATTCATGATCGTTTTTTTGGGGTGAGTGGGTGGGATTTTTTAAGAAAATCAGTTTTTTGAAAATTTTTTTTTAAATTCATTTTTTTTAATATGTTTTTTTGCTATAATTGTCACTATTATTTTGTTATTTTGCTATTTTTATGACAATTTTTTATTATTTTTTTATTGTTTGACTTTATATAACTTTAAATAAAATAATAAATATATAATAATGAATTTTATAACGATTTTAACGATAATTAATAAATAAAATTGCAATAATTTTAATGCTGATTGATAATCGAAATATATAATTTAACAATTTAAGCTGAATATTATTCGAATTGTAAATTTTAATAAACTGATTTCTATCAATTAATAGCTGATTTTAATATTTTAATAACCAATTTTTATGGCTGTTTAATGAATTATTTTTTTTTTTTTTTTTTGGTATTAAGGTGAGGCCTTGCTCATATCTTTATTAATAATTTTTGAAATAGCAACAAT